GAAGAGAAAAAATTAAAAAAAAAAAGAAAAGAAAAAAAAGAATGAAAAAAAAGAAAAAGAAAAGAAGAATTTAGAAGAAAAAAGGGAAAAAAGAATGAAAAGAAGAATGAAAAGAAAAAAAAAGAAGAATGAAAGAAGAAGAAGAAGAAAAAAAAAAGAAAAAAAGAAAAAAAGAAGAAAAAGAATGAAAAGAAGAAGAAAAAAAAAGAAGAATGAAAAGGAATGAAAAGAAAATGAAAAAAAAGAAAAAGAAGAAGAATGAAAAGAAAAAAGAAAAAGAATGAAAAGAAAAATGAAAAAGAAGAATGGAAAAAGAATGAAAAGAAAAATTTTTTTTTAAAAAAAATTTTTTTAAAAAATTTTTTTAAAAAAAGAAGAAGAAAAGAAGAATGAGAAGAAGAAATTTAAAAGAAGAAAAAAAAAAAGAAAAAAAGAAGAAGAATGAAAAAGAAAAAATGAGAAGAATGAAAAGAAGGAAGAAAAAAAGGGAAAAGAGAAGACAGAAGAAGAAGAAGAATGAAAAGAAGAATGAGAAGAATGAAAAGATTCTTCTTCTTCTTCTTTTCATTCTTCTTTTCATTCTTCTTCTTCTTTTCATTCTTCTTCTTCTTCTTCTTTTCATTCTTCTTTTCATTCTTCTTTCATTCTTCTCATTTTTTTATTCTTCTTTTCATTTCTTCTCATTCTTCTTTTCATTCTTTCTCGTTTCATTTCTTCTTTTCATTCTTCTTCTTCATTATCATTCTTCTATTTCATTCTTCGTCTCATTTCATTCTTTTCATGAGAAGAAGAAAAGAAGAATTGAGGAAGAATGAAAAGCATAATCTCAAAAGAAGAAGAATGAAAGATAGAATGAAAAGAAGAAGAATGAGAAGAGAAGAATGAAGAAAATGAATGAATGAAAAGAAGAATGTAAAGAAGAATGAAAAGAAGACAGAAGAAGAATGAAGACAAGAAGAAGAAGAGAAGAAAAGAAGAATGAAAAGAAGAATGAAAAGAAGAAGAAGAAGAATGGAAAAGGAAGAATGAAAAGAAAACAAGAATGAGAAGAATGAAAAGAAGAATGGAAAATGAAGAAGAAAATGAAAAGATAAAGAAAAAAGAGTTTGAAAGAAGAATTAAAAGAAGAATCTTCTTTGAAAATAGATTCTTCTTCTTCTTTTCATTCGTCCAACTTCTTTCATTTTCTTCTTCTTTTCATTCTTCTTTTCATTCTTCTCTCTTTTCATTCTTTCTCATTCTTCTTTTCATTCTTTCTCATTCTTTTTTCTCATTCTTCTTTTCATTCTTCTTTCATTCTTCTTTCATTCTATCTCTACTTTCCATTCTTCTCTTCTTCATTCTTCTCATTCTTCTTCTTCATTCTTCTTCTCATTCTTCTTTTCATGAAGAAGAAATAGAAGAATGAGAGAATGAAAAGAAGAAGAATGAAAAGAGAAGAAGAAGAATGAAAAGAAGAATGAGAAGAAGAATGAAAAGAGAGAATGAAAAGAAGAATGAGAAGAATGAAAAAAGAAGAAGAATGAAAAGAAGAAGTATTCCAGTACAGCAAAAAAGTGTATCTGCAGACGAGCTCCGCTTTTTTCTGAACAGTTCTCTGACAGTTCCAGCGGTTGACAGCGGTTGAAACATTGTATCTATTTTATTTCCGAATAAAAACATCTGTATCCTAAATGGAAACAAATAGATACACAATGTTTCAACCGCTGTACATGTGAAGGAACTGTCAGAGAACTGTCAGAAAATACGCGAGAGCTCTCTGCAGGGACACTTTTGCCGGCTGATCGGTCAGTTTTTTATGGACCTGATTGGACAGTCCATTAACCTCTATGGACTGTGGGTGTAAACAGACTCACCTACCTCCAATCCAATCTGATCCAGCTCATCCCCCTACATCTAGGTGGATCAGAAGACAGTCAGGTGTAGAAGGACAGCGGAGTCTTTATAAAGTGAAGCTTCACCACATTCACACCGAGCTCTGTGATAAATGAGTGTAACTGCATTTGCAAAGTTTAGCAATTTAACCCCACTAAGACAGTGGAGCATGCAAATTAGTAGAGTCAGAGTTAAAGGTTAACAAAACCCAAGAAATAAAATATATTGCACTTTACTAGTCTTAGTCATGGTGGCTTTGGTTTTTTTTTTCATCAATTATAGAAAATACTGGCTATTTATCACAAGAGCAATGCACTTTGCTCTTCATGTATTGAACCCACTGAGTCCTAAAGCATAAAGTGGTTATAAAGGTTGATCTTTTTTTTTTTTAAACATGCCATACTTACCTGCTCTGGGCAATGGATTTGCACAGAAAAGCCCTAATCTTCCCCTTCTTGTGTCCCCTGCTAGTGCTTCTGGCCCATCCCCCCTACCGATTGCCCCCCAGAGCAAGCCACTCATGTATGCAAACTCCCAAGTCACCTCTGTGTGTCTATGGGACTTACAGAGCGTGGCATAGCCCCGCCCAGCTCTCTCCTCATTGGCTGTGATTTACGGCAGCCAGGAGCCAATGTGTCTAAGCCAATGAGAAGAGAGAGACCGAGAGAGAGCCGTGGCTCTCATGCACATCGCTGGATCGGGATTGGGCTCAGGTAAGTATTGGGGGGGTGGGGGGCTGCGAGGGGAGAAGGTCAGTGAAGGATATTTTTACCTACATGCATAGAATGCATGAAGGTTAAAACCTTCAGCCTTTACACCACCACCACCAGCCTTCAGCCACTTTAACTTTTATTTATTTCAAAGAATGAATTATAGAGAGTTGACTGCATGAGTCTTCGCCACCTCAACCCTTTTGCCTGTATCATTCTTAATCTCTTTGCTTCAATAACATTATATTGCTGAAAATCCCACACACTCTGATAAATAAAACAAAATCCCTATACCCAAAACTTTGGCTAATGTACTCAACTCTCTACAATTGGCTCCAACAGATATCTGTTGGTTTTAGAGCTCTGGGTATGTCTTTGCTAATTTTTGTATTTTCTTTTTGCAACAATAAAAGCTAAGTTTTAGGACTTTAATGCACATTATGAAAAGGGTTAAATAGTTAGTATTGATTTCTACACAGTGGTCCAATCATTATCTGTATGATTCAGGCATTTTGTTAATATTTAACCACCTTCCGCCCGCCCTATAGTACAATGACGGGCGCAAGGTGGTTCTCTCATTCTGATAGGACGTCATATGACGTCCCACCATTCTCACTGCGCATGCGCGGCTCACAGAAAGAGCCGAAGATGTTGGCTCAGTCATGTGATCAGCTGTGTCCAATCATAGCTGATCATATGTAAACATGGAAATGCCAGTTACCTGCATTTCTCTCCTCTCGAGCTGTCATGCTGACAGCTCGAAAGGAGAGCCGGTAATCTGCTTTTCGCAGAGGGGACATGTACACTGATCATCAGGCAACTGATGATCAGTGTGCCCTGATGATCAGTGTGGCCCCAGAAGTGCCACCTGTCAGTGCTCATCAGTGCCAGTGCCCATCAGTGCCACGTGCCAGTGCCCATCAGTGCCACATCAATGCCACATATCTGTGCATACCAGTGCACATCAATGCCACATATCAGTGCCCATCTGAGCTGCCTTTCAATGTCACCCATCAGTGCCAGTCAGTGCCACCTATCAATGCCAATCAGTGCCACCTATCAGTGCTGCCAATCAGTGCCGCTATCAGTGCCAGTCAGTGTCGCCTATCAGTGCCAGTCAGTGCAGCCTATCAGTGCCAGTCAGTGCAGCCTAACAGTGCCAGTCAGTGCTGCCTAACAGTGCCAGTCAGTGCCGCCTATCAGTGCCATATATCATAGTCATGTATCAGTGTCATGTATCAGTGCTGCCTTTCAGTGCCCATCAGTGATGCCTGTCAATGCCCATCAGTGCAACCTACCAGTGCCTCCTCATAAGTGCCACCTATCAGTGTCCATCAGTGCAGCCTATCAGTACCCATCACTGCAGCCTCATTTGCGCACATCAGTGAAGGAGAAAAATCACTTATTTACAAAATTGTATAACAAAAACTAAGAAAAAACGTTTTTTTTTTTTTTCAAAATTTTCAGTCGTTTTTGGTTTGTTTAAGAAAAAATAAAAATCCCAGAGGTGATTAAATACCAGCAAAAGAAATCTCTATCTGTCTCAAAAACATGATAAAAATGTCATATGGGTACAATGTTGCATGACCGCGCAATTGTCATTCAAAGTTTGACAGTGCTGAAAGCTGGAAATTGGCCTGGGCAGGAAGGGGGTATAAGTGCCCGGTAGGCTAGTGGAGAGGTACAGCAAATATCTGCTCATCTTGCCAGAAATAGGGGTTTATTTACTAAACCTGGTTCACTCAGAATATCATGCACTTCTGCATAGAAATCAGCTTCCAGGTTTTATTGCTAATGTTTAATTGAACAAGTTGAGGTTGAAAGCTGATTGGTTACCATGCACAGGTGCATGAGATTCTGAATGAACCAGCTTTAGTAAAAAAACCCTATAGGGGTAAATTCACTAAAGGTTACAACATCCGATATGAAGGTCATGTCACTAATTTTCCAGAAATATTGCATGAGATAATATGAGTCAATTCATCAAAGTAAAATATCGAATGTGCGGTAAATACTGCACATTTGTTAAAATAGTGAGATAAATACCACAAAAAAACTATGAGATAAACCATTAACCACTTGGTCACTTGCTCTCTTTTTTGCAATATGGCTGTGTTACTTTAACTGACAATTGTGCGGTCATGCAACACTGCACCCAAATTAAATTTATGTCCTTTTTCCCCCTAAATAGAGCTTTATTTTCAGTGGTATTTGATCGCCTTTGCGATTTTTATTTTTTTCACTATAAACAAAAAAAGACCGACAATTTAGGAGAAAAAAAAACAACATTTTTACCTTTTTGCTATTAAACATGTCCAGTAAAAAAATTAATAAAATCAAATTTTGTCATGAATTTAGGCCAAAATGTATTCTGCAACATGTCTTTGCAAAAAAATCCCAATACATGTAAATTAATTGGTTTACGTGAAAGTTAAAGCATCTACAAATGCTGGTATATACAGTATACTGTTTTTTTTTTATACTAGTAATAGTGGCGATCAGCAACTTATAGGTGGACTGTGGGACTGCCACGGGCATTCTGACACTGGGAGGGAACAGACTAACTGTCACTGACATCCCCAGTGACACTAATACAGTGATCAGTGCTAATAAAAAGCACTGTCACTGTACTAATGACACTGGGCAGGAAGGGGTTAAAATCTGGGGCAATCAAAGGGTTAGCTGTGTGCTTTTTTACTGTGTTTGTTTCACTGTGTATGCACATTGCTTTGTATTGTTCTGCTATACAAAGCAATACAAAGCAATGTGCAGGAGCTGACAGGGGAGAGATCTGTATTGTTTACATGGAGACCTCTCCCCCGTCAGTGACACTTGGAGATCGCCAGATGCCGGCATGGAATCACCAGCCGGGACCCAGTGATTGACAGCTGAAGCCGCCAGTGGCGGCATGGGTAGAGCGCGTGCGTGCTCCCTACCTGTAAATGCAAAATCACATCTATATATGTGATTTTGTGCAGCCCTGACCCCCTGAAGCAGTACTTCTGCTATAGGGTGGCGGGATTAAAGACAATTCATTAAAAAACACACACATTTGTTATTTATCACCAGATGTTTGCAAAAGGTACTTTAGAAATGTACAAAGTAACTATTAAAGGAACTCTGCACTGGCCAGAAAGTGAAAAGTATACAATGTATCTGTGTGAAAATGTTCTCTGAGCTCAGGTATGAAAATAAATTGTAACATTTCATAAATGAAAGCATAGAATGTTTTCATAGTTTCACATAATTGCTGTGTGCCTTCTGGTGCAGTGTTAGCCTGCAAAAAAAAAAAAACATTGTGAAAAAACAAAAATAATGGAAAATTAGGTGTCCATTTATGAACCAGCGGCAATAGATCGCTGCTCAGTTCTCCGGCATTCTCAGAGAACACAGTTCTCCTGTGAATGCAGTTTATGAAGCAGTGTAGATCAGTTCTCCAAACGAAGGTAGAACGGTCTACAAACGCTGGAAAATGGTCTACAAACACTGGAAAACGGCTGATTTTACTATAATCTCACGAGATTACAGTAAAAGATCAGTTTACTAAACAGAGGTAAATTATCGCTGCTTAGTATCTGCACAGATCTCCAGTGAAGGGCTGAACATGTTCTCCGCTGATCTCCTGAGTGTCATAAACTGTGAATGACCAGAGAATAGCTGCGATCCTCTGAATCGCAGCTATTCTCTGTGTCATAAACAGACACCTTAAAGTGCTAAATATTGCAAAATATAAATATTTAACACATTTGGTAAATAACACATGTTTTTTAGTGCATTGACTACATTTGAAATAAATACTGCATGAGTTAATTTAACTCAAACATTCATGTGGTATTTATCTCTTAGTGAATTGACGCCATAGGGATAAAATAACGCATGTGGTACATTTTTTTAAAATATGCAATTAACTAAGAATTTTGCGGTAAATAACTCTTGTGATAAAATATCTGTATTGCGGTAATTACCGCATGAAAATTTTCATGTGGTAATTTATCGTATGGTAGCTGGTTGCTAAGGAATCCAGCCGCGACGTCCTTAACAACGGATGACTCACCAGCTGTCAGCGGGTGTCACACTGACTGCTGAATATAAACAAAACATGCCAGCATTTACAAATGATGACAAAAACAGTGTGAGCTCCCTTCCCATCCATACCAGGTCCTTTGGGTCTGGTATGGACTTTACGGAAAACCCCACAACAAAATAAAAAAAAAAACAAATGGCCCTTAGGTCTGGTATGGATTTTGGGGGAACACCACACCAGAATAAAAAAAAAAAAGGCATGTGGTTCCCCTTACAATCCCAAGGGACTTTGAGTCTGGTATGGATCTGATAGGGACCCCATGCCATTTTTTAAAAATTTTTCTACTTTTTATCCATACCAGAGTGCTAGGGGTTGGGGGGGGGGCCCCCTTGATGCATCTGAAAAAATACCGCATGTGATACTGCCAGCAAAACCCTGGTGATAAATATCGCATCTTTTTACTTTCTGTTCTGTTTGTGAATTGGACTTAACAGCTTACCACTTTTTTTTTTCTTTTTGTGGTATTTGCTGACACATTTTTAATTTTGCATTAAATACCGCAGAATCTTTTTTTTTTTGTGTGTGTGTGTGTGTGAATTGAACATTTTGTTACCGTATGCGATAATTAATGCAAATGAGTCATGTGACAGTGCTGTTGCATGAGGTAACCTTTAGTGAGTTGGCCCCTTAGTGTCATGTCACTTTCTGTGAGCTGAAATAAAATAAAAAAACAACTAATCTGCCCCACTCCCATTTAATGAACAAAAACAGAAATGTCTGCAGTCCAGCCTGGCTGGCAACTATGGCTCCCTCCTGTAGGAGATGAGCACTGCTGCAGAAGCACAGGAAGTATGTTATTTGCAGAATTAGTATGTTTTAAACAAAAAAAGTGAAAAAGAAAATTAATGCAGTCATGTAGGTTCACAGCAATAGATTCCAAATGCAAATACCACACTAAGGCCGGTCATACATGGATCGATTTCTGAATGACTTTTCATGCAACAATTGGACCTAAGAATAATCTGCCAATTTTTGCTCTCTTCGTGGGGCAATGGCACCAGCCAAATTTTGTGGTTTCTCCCCATTTCGTTTATCAGGCATGCTGGAAAATGTGTGAAAAATAACCGATTTTCAAAATAATTGGTGGCACCATCGGATTACAGAATGAACAATGTTTTCGATTCTTGATCTAAAAATCATTCAGAATTTGACCCATGTATGGCCTGCTTTAGAATCAACTCTAGACCTTTTATCTGCTTAATTGATGAAGAAATAACAAAGGAGTAGCCCACACCTGGCCATGAAACAGCTTATGATTCAATTGTCCAATTACTTTTGGTCCCTTGAAAAAGGGGGGATGGCTACTCTTAAGAGCTGTAATTCCTAAACCCTTCCTCCAATTTGGATGTACATACCCTCAAATTAATCCTGAGAGTGTGCACTTTCAGCCCATATCCTTTACATAACTATAGCTTGAATATGTTTTGGTAACAACCTGAAAAAATCTAAAATTGTGCCTGTGTCCAAATATATATGGACCTAACTATATACAGTGTGTATATATATATATATATATATATATATATATATATAACTTTTTTTTTAGGCAATCCCCCTGTAAGAGCCTAGGGGGGCACAGTTTTGGCACACTAAGTAGAGCAGTAATGCAGCGCATCACAGAGTACAGTGGATGTGGCTGCATTGCATTAACAGTAGGAGAAGCTTAATGGGGAATAGTTAAATAAAAGACTTTTTGTACCCATAAAAATTGTTTGGTTACTGTTACTGGTAAGAGTTTTACAGACTTATACACTCTCTTTTATTGCATATGATTTTGGGCACACTGAAAATAGACAGAGAGCTGACACTCTGAGCCTACCTCAGTGCCAGATTAAACTCTGTAGAGGTTCCTAGACAGTTGAAACCTTGGGCCCCATCTCACAGGTTTCTGGAGATTCCTTGTGCGTACGCTCTAGTGGGATAACATTGAACTAAGTAGTGTGCACATTGGCTGCTACATGGAGATGACCATCACTACTGT